GGTCACTAAGCCCGGCATCCGGGGGGGTCACTAAGCCCGGCATCCGGGGGGGTCACTAAGCCCGGCGTCCGGGGGGGTCACTAAGCCCGGCGTCCGGGGGGGTCACTGAGCCCAGCGTCTGGGGGGTCACTAAGCCCAGAGTCCAGCGCATCACTAAGGGTTAGTTCACACCATAAGCAGTGCGTTCCGGTTGGTTTCTGATTCTGAAACGCATTGCAGCTGGCTCACTTATTTGCCGGGCTGGAGGGGGCGTGACGGGCCATTGAAGTTAATGGCACCATAGCCACACCCTCCGGGCCGCAATGTCGATCGCCCGCACGATTTCGCAAGCCACATCGTGCCTGGAGTGCGTTTGGCTGCGGTGCGATCAAAATAGTGCTTGCAGCATTTTTATCGCACCCGAACGCACTGCAGTCACAATGTGCCTTGCAATCCCGTGCGGGTGATCGCATTGCGGCCGGAGGGCATGGCTACGGTGCCGCTCACTTCAATGGCCTGCCACGCCCCTCCAGCCTGGCAAAAAAGTGAGTCGGTCGCAATGCGGGCAGTGTGTTCTGGCCAGAATCAGACCGTAACGCACTGCTTATGGTGTGAACTAAGCCTTACGTCTAGTAGATATGTGCGATTCAATTCGGAAAAATTAGTTTTTCGGACGAAATTCGTTAGCGGTAGTCTGTACGCATTTTCGTTTGTGGACGAATTTTCATTGCAGCAAAGTGACATTTAAAAAAAAAAATTAAACTAACAATACGAACATGAAACGGAAATGAACATTCGTACAGACTACCGCTAACAAATTTCATCCGAAAAACGAAATAATGCAAAATTAGAATCAAAAGAAAATTAAACTAAACAAATTTCTTGCCGGTGCACATGTCTAGTGTCCATCGCGTCACTTCTCCGTGAGTCCAGCGGGTAATGTGATTGTGTCAGCTCCTCTGTACAGAGACTGATGTGACTGTGGGGGACGGGAAATTAGAGTGCAAGCTCCTCTGTACAGAGACTGATGTGACTGTGGGGGGACATTAGGTCTGTGGAGAGGGCATTAGAGTGTAAGCTCCTATGTACAGGGACCGATGTGACTGGGGCTGCAACAATGAATCGACTAAGTCGATTAAAATCGATGATGGAAAATGTCAGCGTTTTCCATCATCGATTAGTCGGCTTTCGATTAGTTGCCCCTGTTCGCGGCTCCACACGTGCCGCACCTCCTCTCCTGGCTCTGAGCTCTCTACCGCCTAAAGCCGTGTAAGAGGCCCCAAAATTTCTGATGGCTGCCCTGCAAATAACGCACTGGCTTCTAGAACGTAGAACAAATGATAGAACACAGGTGTTGCGTCGAATTCTGTTCCCCCATCTATGTGTGTTACCTTAGCTGCTCGGCTATTTCCGTAACCGCTTCTCCTTCGTACAGCAGCATCTGAATCTCTATAGGTGTTCTATCAAAGTTTGTGACTGCGTTAGAATGTGGCCGGTGACGTGGTCACACATTTTAACCTAATCCTTGCCTAGTTTTTCGCAGCGGTGGAATATGTGACCAGCAAAAGTTAAAGAATTCCAACGTTTTCTCAGCTGTTCCAGGGCAGATAGGCATCGCAGATCGCATGTGCAGGAGAACCGATCTGCCCTTGACTAGCTGTTCGGTCCTGAAATGTCACTTTCTCCAATCATCTTCCAGGACAGCAACCTGAGAGATGATTGGATCTTCAGTCTACAGGAAACACAATCAGACAAGGTTAAAAACCCCTCCCACCCCCCTCGTCCCTCAGTTTTTGATTGTGTTTCTTACCGTCTGGGTCAGCGCAATGTTTGTTTCTTTGTCCCGACTGGATGGCCTTGAGGTCAGCAGTCACCCTCTGTGGGGCTCTGCTAGGGTACTGGATTCCTGAGCCTTGCCTTCTTGTGGTACAGAGGTTGTTTCCATAGAAGAGGTAGCTGGTCTCTCCCAAACCTAAGGGTAGACACTCAGCCTATCTTTCCCCCGGGCTTTTTGCCCTGTCTGGTGCTCTGTGGAGCTTGCCTCGTGGTGGAGGGCAAGGAGACGGGACTTCCGCATTCCAAGCCTCGTTCGGAGTTACGAAGTGTTACTTCCGGTGGCGGCATTTTGTCACTTCCGCCCTTCGCCACGAAGACGCCGGCCGGACAGAGAGGGGAGTTGCTGCACGCCACCGAGGCTGACATGGAGGAAGAAGCCAAGCCGGCGATGTCTGCACCCAAGTCCAAGGTAGCGGTGAGTGATGCTTCTGGAGGGACTGGGTGTAGTCTAGGTGGGGGGTGTCCTTATTGCTCCCAGTAGCTGTATTGATACAGTGTTTTAAGCCTCTCTCTTCAGGATGCACTTCTGGGGGACAAGTCTGCAGCCCAATTAGCAGTTCCACTTTCTGCCTCATCTTCTAAAGCATTGAAGAAGCGGTGTGGCAGTTGCAATGTTAAAGGAGAACTATGAGATGAGTGATTTCCACTCACCTCATAGTTCTAGCCGACTTGTGACAATGAGACTGTCACAGGTCGGCTCAGTAGATCGGGAGGTGAGCGAACACATACCAGGTTCGCTCACCTCTCGATCCTGTCACGGCTCTCTGCCGTGACAGGGGGAGGGGCTGGATTCCCCTCTCCCCGCTCCGATCTGCCAGCGCTGACTGGCGGAACGGACGGGGGAGGGAGCAGGTACAGCTGGCTCTGCCTCTAGATAGGCAGAGCCAGCTGTCACTCACGCAGCTGGGCGGATCCCGTCATCTACGTCGGGATCCGCTCCGGCTGCGGCGTCTCAGTATACCGCGAGCTGTAGCTCGCGGTATACTGAGCTTAGGGTAACGGGAGGATGCTAATTTTTGTCCTCCCGTTACCCTAAGGAGAACTATGGGGAAAAACAATGACCCCATAGTTCTCCTTTAAGTTGCCTCTGAATTACTCCAAGGCCATTTGTGAACAGTGTATACAAAAGGTTACCTTGAGTGAATCTTCATCACTTATGCAGGACTTTATGGCCAGTATGCGTAATGAAATGGTGACTTCTGTGCAATCTTTCAAGAATGTTTTTTCTGAACTGTTGCCAATCACTACCTCCTCGATTGCCTCTGCAGGGCCATCTGGAAGTTCTGCTCTGCCTTGTTCACTTTCTAATTCTGCTTTTACTCGGGTTGAAGAGAAAGAGGAGCATTCTGGTTTAGATACTGACAGTTCCTTGGAAGAGGGAGAGACTGTAGAAGCGAATGTTGGGATTCAACCGCCACGTCACCTTTTTGCTCTAGATGACATGGAAGATCTGTTACAGGCTATTTATACTACTGAGCAGATTCCTGACCCTCCTAAAGCTTGTTCTGTGCAAGATAGGCTTTACAGGGGGTTGCATGATTTGGAAGGTTTTTCCTTTCCATCAAACACTAAAAGATTTAGTTTTAGGTGAATGGAAAGATCCTGAGAGGAAGCATTTAGCCTTTCGGTCTTGGAAGAGGCGTTTTCCTTT